AGGTGAAGAAAGAAAAAGAAAAAAGAGAAAAATTTATTTCAGGTTTTTATTTTAACTGCATGGTGTAAAAACTAGAGACACAGCTATAATTTTTAATGCTAGCTATAAAAACCAGTGCACTTGTCGCTCTTGCACATGGAGATAACTGTAAGTATTCATCTACATATACTACAGTTTCATATGATAGTTTTATTTGCATAAATGTCATTTTTCCACATTATTTTTGAGAAAATTAAATTCGCTAATTAGTTACTCACATAATTAAACTTCAATTTTATATCTTTCAACCTTTTAAGACTTTGATTCGTTAAATATAAGAGAGAATATGAATGATATTTAAAGACCTCTAGACTGCAAGATAACTCTTCAAATTTCATCGAACATCTTTAGACTAGTACTGCTTTTATTTAGATGTACAACATAAATTAGGAAATCTAATCCCATTACTTTTCTGTAGATATCTTCAGAACAACAAATTTCAAGGCATTCCATCACGTTCCTTTAAGTCTTTGGTGAATTTAGAGAATCTGTGAGTATGCAAATGTTTATTTTATTAAAGTGCAAGTCTGATTGTCGCTATTTATTCTAAAATAAAATCAGCAGATATAATAAAGATATCCCTCCATCTTTTTTTAAGGTATTTAAGTTCAAACAATCTATTAACTATACCAGACGAAAGTTTTTCCGAATTGCACCGCCTAAGGAAACTATGGCTCGACGAGTGCAATTTGTTGGAAGTTCCTGCTTTATCTCTTCGTGTCCTCACTAAGCTGGAAGCTTTGTAAGTATCCTTTTACTTATAAAATGTTAAATTTTGTAACGCCTGCTGGCTATTTATACAAGGGCGGTCCTAAACCTCGCAATGATTTCAAAAGCTTATGCAAATCGAACAAATGGGTATAAAAACTTATCCAAAAATGAATTGTAAAAAGTTCTTTCAAGGGATGGCATTTAGCTCAGATTTTCACCGATAGAGTACGCTTCAACTACAGCTAGCGATCACAATCAGAATACTGTTGAAGATGGTATTGAAGAGCTTTAGTTGGCCTAGGATACCCAGAACTATTGCCTTTGTGACAAGTGTCTTGCATGTGAGTAAATGGTTTTCAATACCATTCTGATTCTGATCATTAGTGCTGATATCGTACGGTGCCCTATATTGTCAAACGTGGAAATAAATATTTGTAGTCTGCTTGTCATTGCAGTCTACTTACTGCTCTCCGTTATATTAATTGGCTTGATTTCTGTAAAATTTTAAAATCGTAACAAACTCTTTATATCACTCTATTTTCTATTTCACCTTGCATTTACATTATGAAAAACAGTGGATTCTGAACTTCACCTGACTTAAAATAGTAGATTGTATGTCACGTCAGACTCCTTCCTTAAGAGCAGTGGTCTCAAAATCAAACGGCACGCGGATCATATGCAGGATCTAAAAACGGCTTCATGGGCCAGATTTTTTTATTATTATTATTTTATTAACAAATTTATTAACAAAAATGCTATTGAAATATTTTAAATAAAGTTTAACTATTAGTTAAATTTATTAACGTTCATCAAAACGCTCATAAAAATATTAATAATATCGGGTTACAAAAAAATTCAGATTTATATTTATTTCTTATCTGAAATCTAAAATTTGGCACCTGCAAAACATTTTTTGGCTATAGTTTATAATTCAAATATACTGACAGCTAAACATTAAATACTTAGATTGACATTTCTTTCAAATAATTAGCGGCCGAGCGGTAAAGTCGCTGAACACCGGTAGTTCGGTCCGAGGTTCGAATCCCGCGAACGGGCTGGCTGCATGGGTGTTTTCGTGGTCCCCATGTGTAACGTGTATACGAGCCAGTTTCCCTTAGAAAGTCCTCCACGAAGGCATCCCTCCCCTTAGGCAGATAGCCCTAGTGTGCTTTGCCATAATTAAAATACACACCACTTTCAAATAATTTTTGCAATTTTAATTAATCATTAAAAAACTTACTTTAATTTAAACTAAAAATAAACAAATTACAAAACTTTCCAAGATTTTCAGCAAAATTTACCAAGTGAGGCAAAACTTGAGAATAAATAATTACAAACTAATCTCTATCTCTTAGTTACATAATTTTTCTTCGCCCCATAAATAAAAATGCGTATGTTTGTGTATAAATAATTAAACTTCTTTGCTTTTTACTACAGTTTGATACTTGATGGAGTGCTGACGAAGTTTGTAGCCTAGGAGAGAAGTAATCTCCATCGCGGACTGTAATACTTACCTGTCATTCGGGTTCTTTTCTTATATTATTATAATTTTCAAGTGTAAGCTGTTCCCTTTTTAAATGTATTTTCAAACAACGCGATTACACTTAATGCAAAAAATCGTAACTGAGCTTATTTATTTTTTGACAAGTACACATAAAATTTTATGAAATCTATGTCTTCCAATCTCTGAATATTTTTTATATGAAACTGTAAATTAATTAGCTCTTTATAGATTTTCGAATCGTTATTCATGTTTCTTTTTAATAGAAATAAAAATAATGTGAACTAGAACTTCAAATAATTAAAATATACAAACCTTTGCTACAGACACCCTATTTGAAACAAATACATAATTGAAGTGTCTTCGCGAGGGGCATAAAATTGCTTCGGGCCACATGTGGCTTACGGGCAGCCAGTCCTTAGTAATCATAAGAAAATGTCTTAGAAAGTTGTGAGTGATGTTTGTCTAGTTTGAAGTCAAAAGTATTCAAAAGGTTTTCATTTTCAATCATTTTCATCTTTGGGATAGAGATTCATCTTTTGGAGGAGAGTGCTATAAGTGAGTGCAAAACGATTTTCTGGGGTAATTATTAAACTAAATCTCAGAGCATCATTTCATTAAATAAAGTTAGATTTATCTCAGTTACATGGGAAGCATTTCTTCGTAATAACTAATTAATCGTTTAATGTGGTACTGAAAAATCTTCATTTATGTTTTACATCTTTAACAATGATTCGTATTCTTGTAATAAGGGCGAAAAAAGAAATTTTGACTAGGCATCAACAATGTTAAAAAAATGGACTCAAATATGTTTCTCCTCTGGGTTTATGAGTAGGCAATATAAAATTTTATTGTATAATTCAGCATGGGAGAAGTAAAGCAACAAGAATCAGCGTTATATTTGTAAATTTTGCAAGATAGTTTCTATGGTTTAACTACAGAACCATCGAAACTATCCTGCAAAATTTACAAATATAATGCTGATTCTTGTTGTTTGACTTCTCCCATAATCTTTATTCGACTTGTTATTTTAACCTAAATGATTCAGCATATTAAAGAATTCAAGGAGATAAAGCTAATAGCTTTTAATGAAAGTAAAGAAAATATATTAAAATTTTAGTGAATTGAAGTTAAGAAATTAAGCGCTCGGGGTAGCGGGAAAAATTTTCGGCTGTGGCGAGTTTAAAAAAGAAATATTTAAAACTCCTCTTAAAAAGGCATATCTTTAATTTTCTGATAATGGAATTCATAATTATATTTTATTTCAAATTATGAATTTTAATCTTGTAAAAAATTATAGAACATGAAAGCTGAAAAATATATTTAGCGGTCAGAAACATCCTTTTATATTTTCGTAAACAAAATCTTGATTATTAACCAAACGAATTAGCTTTTCGAGAGGTAAAAAGTAACAAAATAATAACTTCTAAACTATCTAAAAATAATTAAATTATAGAACCAAAAGATATAGAAATAAAACTTAAAACATATAATGAAATTAATTATGCTGACTTAAAAAAGGTGTAACTAAACAAGAAATATTGTTTCAAATTTCTTTAAAATTAAACCTGCAACTTCTAATCAGTTTAAAGATTTTCTTTGCTTTTCCGTTCATATCAGAGAAAAATAATTAATTATTTACCACAAAATATACAGGTTAAATTTAAAACAAAAATTAGGTACACTGCAAAATCCTTTTCAGTACACTGCAAAATCCTTTAAGAGTTTAGAACAGGAAATAAGAATGTCTTATATAATTTTTTTTAATTAAAATATATTAATTCTTAGACTTAAGTGCAGGAAATAAAGGACAAAGGTTCTTGCTTGAAGAGTATTTTGAAAATTGTTTGAAAACTCATAATACATATTACACTTTATTACTCAACTTCGTGTGTTATCGAGTTCCTTTATTACGATCATATTATCCCAAGTCATGCATTTCATGCATATTTAACTGTAATAAACTGCATTTAAATTATTAAATCTCGTTCTTTATTAATACATCCCAACTCTTCATGCAGAATGTTAAAAAAATTAGCGGCTTTATTTTAATAAATAATGACCCTAGACATATACTTTTAACCGCGTTCTTAAACTGAGGATGACTGTTTATATAATACTCGTAATGCAGCAATTCCAGCTAATAAATATTCATTATGTTTTAATAGATTAAATGCAAAATGTTTCGAATCTTTGCATGCAAAATTCCTAGATTTATGCTTACTTCTCATGTAATTAAGAGTACTTCCATCCGCATGAAGATACTCTTCAAGAGTATCTTCATGAGGAAGGGGTTAAAATTTCATAACGAGGGTTACTTTACCCATTGCGGATTCATTTATCTTGAAAACAAGCAATTTTTTTATAGTATCTCTCTTTATCTGATACGCAGAACTTAAACTTCGGTCAACAATGAAAAGTCTATAATTTCGTTTTAAAAACTCTGTTTGAACTGTGCACTTATTTGGACATTAGGAAACGTTTTGAATTTAATTTAGGCATAAGGAATATTTTACAAACTTGGCTTGTTGTTGTACGAGAACCATGCAAAACGTCACATTTCATCTTTACCATCACAGTGTTTATCCTGATTTCGTAAAATTATCTGTCTCATTTTGTCAGTGGAAGTATATATCTAGAATAAATGAAAAAAGAAATCCCCCTTTTACGAATCCCCTATACCTGTAAGTATGAAATCAACAAAGCGTTTCAATTCTTTCGTATTTTATAATATCTATTTTATTTGCAGGAATCTAGCTTCAAATAACATCAGAACGATTCCCGATTTTGCCTTCCAGAATCTTAAGAAACTTAACATTTTATGCCTTGAAAACAATGAGATTGAATATATGGGCCGAAATGCATTTGAAGGACTTGTTTCACTGAAGGTGTTGTGAGTACATACCAATTTCTTATAATTTTCAAGTGATGTCATTTCTTTTTCTTTTCAACATTGAAAAATCTATAATATAAAACAGATATTGAGGGCAGAAAGCTGAAATAAGAAAGTAATATAAGCAGATGTTCTTAATGCCTTAAAAATCTTGTATTTCTTATTTACAGAGAAATCAATGGAAACCAGCTGCTCGAGCTTCCTTTGGCTCTGTCTAGTCTGCCGAATCTAAAAGAACTGTAAGCATTTTTTATTATTTTATGTTGCTAGTAATTTTAGAGATATGCTTGACAGTCTGACTGAAATAATTGTGATAGAGAATACTAGTAATAGCAGGGTGATATTTTTAGAGGAAAGAATTTATTTGTAAAATTTTTCTATTAGTTAACGGATTACAATATTCTCAGGATTCAAATACTTCAGAATTTTTTTTACACTTTTCTTATATATTTCTATCTCGTATCAAGTTTACTATTATTTATTCCGTACCCATATTTTATTATATTAAAATATTTAATTAAATATATTAAAACTTTAATTAAAATATATTAAAATTTTAATATCTTTCTCTCTCTCTCTCTCTCTCTAGAATCTTACATTGTTAAAGAAGAGTAATAAATACTCTTATGTATTTTATTTCTCATTTAGTGTAATGTTTAAGAGTAATCAGAAATTCTTATGCGTATGAAATTTTAGAGTATGATGTGTGAAGAATATTATGGAAAAAAATATTTTGATTCCTGTCAAGTATGTCACACAAATTCATAAATAAATGTTGTACAAACAGAAAAGAGAGAAATAGTTGAATCAAGCTCTACAATAAATAGTTTTTCCTATTGATAATGCAATCCTGCTCTGATAATTTAACTAAATGATCAAGGTTTCACTCAGCTGCGGTTTAACGCGGCACAAAAGATTTGAAAAAGGAAAGCCATAAATAGTCCTTAAATTTTAAAATGCTCATCAGGTGAAAAAGGGTTGTAATTTATTGGAATGAAGTAGTTAGTACTATCTTCCGATAACAATTCTATAAGCAATTCTATATTATTGATGCTCGGTTCGGACGGATGCTTCATAACTTCTGCAACTCTTTGCATGCTTTGAAGGGGTGGAGTTGTTCTTAAAGTTATGCATGATATTATTCAGTACAGGTACAATATTTTTTGTCCCTTTAGCTTTCGCTGAGATTTAGTCTTAAATGTCAGAATCGCTTACTTCCCTACCTACAACAGAAAGAAAGTACCCTGAAAACGTAAAGTGCATTCAATTTCCTCTTACTTATTTTGGTATTACTAATCGTAATTTATCAGTTGATTATATTTTTATGACTTACGTTAATACTGAGTTATATACAGCTTTCGCTAGTTTCTAATAACAACTCTAGTTTCATGTATACTTATTAAGTATTGAAGCATAGTATAGGCGAGGTAGAATTAGGTAAACAATTTCGGGATGCTGTCAGTTGTTAATAGAGGAACGTAAAGTTACCAATGAATTTGTTCAGTCATGAAGAATAAACCCCAAATGTTCGAATGTGCTAATTTGGTTCCAAACGAGTTGTGACTTTCTTCTGACAACACTTCTTAATGAACCTCCGTATAAAGTAAGTCGGAGATAACGGCAAATTATTTCGACTGCCATTGGATATCTCGTTTAAGAGATTAGCTTAATTGCTCTTTATAGTTCCATGATTATCAAGCCATATGGTCAATAGCCCTGTCCTGCTGGAACTAGATCAGACTTATAGTTGTGTTCTGTTAGATTGCTGGAGTGACAAAGGTATTGCATCATACTCACTTTGCAAGTTACTCTGCGATATAACATAGTCACGCTGTGATGTGAGAGTTACACAATTTCGGTCACCATTCAAAGACCAGCAAATATGCCACTGCAAAATTCATACCATGCATAACCTCTAATGATTACAAAGGGATCTCAAAATTCTCGTCTACCTTTCTTCACTTCAAAATAGGTAATTCTGTTTATTCATGAACTTATAAGCGTGTTTTACTCAGTGTAATATGATTTGGTAAAGTCGATTTGCGAGCCACTTTTTGAAACACTGAAACTTCTTTACTTGTATGTATTGGAGGCTGAATATTATACAGGAAGGGATGCATAGCCTGTCGGAGGATTTTTCAAAATGATGTTACATATTAACCTAGTTGAATGGATCGCCGTCGAGTAGATCTTTTATGCTTCTGTACCACAAGTTCTTTCACTCCCTTCTTATCTTCATTCGCTACTATTCTCGGAACATGTTTTTTCCTTTCGCTGATTATTCATTTCACAGAACATTTCCACAACAGCAATAGGAATGAAACTTCTCCAGAAAACCACTTTTAGAATTTTCTTTGTGCGAATATTGAAAATTGTGCGCATATTCTTAAAATACTTTTTCAACAAGGAACATATGATATTCTTTTTTGTACCTAGTCACTATCATGAACTGAGCACAGTATTGACAATGTCTAAGCCTTTTAAAAGAAAACAATTTTCAAATTGGACAAATGGTATATTTTTGAGTCCATTTATTATCCATCATTTTAGATTGCAAAGAAAATTATAAGCTGTGCGTTTCAGAAAAATTTCTTCACCGCCATTAGATTTTGTTTTGAATCTGGATGGTAGGGTGCACAAGAAGGTGAGAAAGAAATTTTACAATCGATGTACTGTATATTATTAGAAACCCATTTTAGTTTTTCCAGTTATGAGAGAAAGTAAGATCTATTTCACAATGCTTTTAAGAAGTACTAACAAAATACCTTTTTAAATGATTAACGTTGCTACACTGAATGAGCAACGTACTTCTATAATATCAGAGATAAGCATAAAATCTTATAAATCGTCGGTTGGCAACAAGTGCTCTTGTTTTTCTGATTTTAATTTGTACTAGGCAGTACTTTTTTTTTTTGCTAACTGAAAACAATAACGTCGTTTTGTAGTGTTTGAAAAAAACTGAGTTGTTTTGCATTTTGATTTTTTTAAAATTAAGATTGATAAGAAAATGTTAAACATCGAGTGTGACATAATAGCTTAGGAAACAAAAAGAGATTTATACATATATTTAAATGTCAAAACAAATTTTCTTCTAGGCTTTGTTTAATTTTTTATTTGCGTATCAATTGGCTTTCTCCCTCTTCTCTTTAAATTCAAGTGAAAGAGATTTTAAAATAAAATGAATCAAAAGTGTTTGCTTTTGACTTCTTCGTTATATAATAATTACGGGTGGTTTTCTTACGCAAAAATGATATGTTGAGAGACTGATATAATAATGATAAAAAAGCAGAAAAAAAAAATAAATTTTATGATTCCATATTATTACAGAACGAGTTAGTTTACATTCGTTTCATTTATCAGAGTTACAGTTCTTGTCATTACTTGTTCTTGACTTTTATCTGTTAAGAAAAATTTCTTGTCTGTTTTACTGTTTAACTGCTTCAGGTAAGTGCAAAAATTCTTTTTGATTTAATTGCCCGCCTTCATTTCATGTTCCTTAATTTTGCTGAAATTTATGGAAAGGGAAGCATCCTTAATTTAATAAAGATGAGTTCGTTGGGATCTGATATCAATTGATTGCGTTTTAAGTTATGTATAATTTGAAATAACTGCTGATATCACAATTGACTTTTATCTCTTAAGAAAAATTTAAGGTCTTTTCTAAAGCCAATCACTTAAACAGAATGAAATATCTCCATAGAAAAAAAAGAAAAAAAAACTTGTCTTCTGGATCGGTTAAACAAGTTGAAAAATTGGTTTTCCTCTCATTCTATTTATAGCTTTTGATGATTTATTACAAGACAAGTAAGCGAAGCATTTTTATGAATGATCTTCTCCTTCTATCAATCAAGCCAGAACTGTGTAATCTTTTCAACAATTAAAGAATTTTTTTACTACCCTATTGGTTTAGGGGACAAAAAGAGACATTTCATGCTGAAAATTAGCTAACAGAATGCTTCTTGTTAAATAAATATAAGGATAATTCCCTAAATATTAAATAAAGACTTTTAAGTGAGAAAGATATGTGAAATGAAGATCTCACTTGTTTAATGATCAAAGCATCTGCCTACTGGCAATTCTTGCAGTCTCGACTGTTTTGATTTATAACGCTTAGAACATTTCATGTGGTCATTATATATTCATATCGGAAACGTATAGTTAATGGATACTTTTCTTAAGTGTATGCAACCCAATGCTTCAAACGTTTCCGAGGCGATACTAAGCATTAGAAAATGTTCCACAGAACGAGATGTTTGTTCATCGGCTGTTTATGTTAACAATAAAGCTTCTGGGAAATGAAAGTTATACACGTATATGCAACTGCGTTGAATGTTAGCCTCTCTAACCTTTCCGTAATTCAATTATTAGTCATGTATAAGTGCACAAATTATTAATATATGCATATATATATATATATATATATATATATATACAGAGAGAGAGATGGACAGATAGGTATTTACATAAAAATAAATAAATAAATGCATGCTCAGATGATTAGATAGATAGATAGATATACGTACGAATTCTTGTGCAAATAATAATAAACAATACATAATTTCCTGTAAAATATAAAGCAAGTATTTCTAAGATCTAAAATACCGGAAAGGAGAAACCAATGCGAAAGTAAAAATAAAAGCATAGGATGAGGTAATAAGTTCAGAATAATTAGACAGAACATCAATTCAAAAAAAAAAAAAAAAAAAAAGGACAAAAATTTAAAGCACCATAAAATAAAAATCCAGCAAAACCTTGATAATCCGAGGTAATTTGGACTGTAGTTGCCTCGAATAATCGAAAACTCGGTTAAACAAGAATAAATTTTAAATTATATCAATTTTTCTGTCGATAATATTTTCTGAGATTGTTTATTTGAAATTCCAAAAACATGCTCATATGTACTACAAATTAACATTTTAGCAAACTCTCTTATTAGCAAATAAAGTTTATTCACTACAGTTAAACAAATAATCTCTAAAAGATTTGATATCGTGGCAAAAATTTTCATAAAAACCTGGACTCCACTGTATAAGAATTTTCCCAATTTTTTGAAATTGTGTCTGTTTTCTTACGTTCATTTTCGTAAGACATTAGTTTTTCTTTTTTTAAAAAAATATGTATGATTCGTTTTTGTTTGCAATAGATCTGCAACTCTTTGGCTGCCGTATGATCACGCCCAATTTCTGTCAGCAAAAGAAGAATCAGGGAATTTATCTAAAAATTAAAGAGCTGTGATTAAAGCTTCAGCATGCCTAATTGTCGTATTATCTTGTTTCGTATCATCGTCATCCATGACGTGTAATATTACATTTAACTCACAAATCTAAATTATTATCTTCCCATATTAATTGTTTATGCATTATAATGAATCATGTAGTTATTACAATCATCAGAAGCATTAACATTATTATATACCAGTTGACTAGAATTATTTTTAGACCTTCATATAATATGGAATGCATGCAAAATATATACATACATCAAATTTTTATTTATCATTTGAAACAGAAATATTATTTCAATAACACTACTTAGCAAAAGCATGAACTATTTCAATCACATTTGCAGCGTTATCAATATAATTTTTGTTTTGTTTTTAGGTAAACATGGTTAATTAACAGGTTCTCAATCTGAATTAAAATTTATTTCTTTTGAGACGGCGCCAAATATAGTAAAATATTAATTAAATTTTAATTTAATTGTATTTCAATAAATAAAGATATTTAGATAAAAACTATAATGAATATTTCACTACGTTGTGTTGATGCAATAACCAAAATAAAGAATGAAAATTAATTACTTACTGGTTACACTGCGTAATGCCAATAAATCAAACTGTGCATTGCAGGAGAGTTTTTATTTCTTATTTCTTTCTTGTAGTTACTCATTAATAACCCTTACGGCCGATACAAAGCTCTAATATCAGTTAAATACAATATTATTACAACAATAAGATACGTTTTAAAGTTGTGTAGTCCAGATTCGTGATGCGGAGAAATTAGAAGACAAGAATCTATCCTAGTAAACGTCATCTCGAATATTCTTTTTATCAGTATTTGATGAATTAAATCCCGGTGAAGAAATATCTTAGTGGAAAACTAAGTAGTTATTTATCAAACGGAAAGGAGAATTATTAGGTGAAAACGGAATACAGAAGTCCTAAAGCCTCATGTAGCAGTTGAAACATCGAAGAATTTTCTTTTTCGCAAACATATTTTTTTCCAGTGGCTAGGTAAAAAGTTACAAACAATGAAATCTTATAAACAGAGGTTACAAACAATATAACTAAGAACAAAAATACCAAAGTCATTGCCTATGAAGCGTTCTTGCCTCCCAGTATCTCGACTCTTCTGTACGACCACGAAGAGCCCTGCATCGAAGCAGGTGGTCCCGGTCCATTTAATTTTTTTCCCGCAAACATTAAAATAAAAATAAATCTTACAACATTTTAAATTTCATTTGGCTTTTTTTCAGTATTTTTAATTGAGCATTTTTCTTCCATAGATTCTTAACGTAACTAGTGAAAATGAATTTTGCATATTAATAGATTTACAAAATGTGCTTGCTTGCGTCAGTAGTACAATTTTCATTTAGACGTCAAAAAGTACGAAGGATTTCTTTAGAAGGAAGAAAACGCACTTATCTAAGAAGATGTTAATATTTTATTATTATCAATGCAGTAAAAATATAAAATTAAATCAATTTAAATTTTTCCCGGTAGTTTGAATCCGAATACAGTTTATTACCCTTGACGAAAATTCAAGTAAATAAAACGGCAAAGGAATCTCTTCTTTCGGAAAGATCTCTTTATAACCTATGAGCAGTCTTCATGTTCGAAGCTGGCCACGTCCTTGCTGCTGCTATTATTTTCCTTTACTGCTTGCTTTATTCTCTTATTTTCTTCACCAAAGCAATGAAAATTAAAAAATCATGTATGCCTTACTGTCATAAAACATTGCACTTATATGTCATCATTGCTTATTAATATCAGAGTATCTTCTGATTCATAATCACTGGTTGTTATTATAGAAAATGAAGGCACTTTTATTTTATTACAGGTCTTTCTCCAACAACAAAATTCGGTTTTTATCCAAGTCAAGCTTCAGTTCGAATCGTCATCTAACCACATTAGAATTGTCGGGAAATCCTATTGAATTCGTCGACAAAAGCACATTTTCAAAACTGCCATATTTAAAAAAATTGTAAGCATCATTCCCTCTTTTTTTCCCTTCTATTTTACTTTGTTATATATTTCCTAGTTGTCTTTTCTAATGTTTCTACTTTCAATTACTTTATACTCTTTTTTGAAAAATGCTTTTTTTTTTAGAACATTATCAGAGATTCAGCTCTTAGAAGATTTTCCAGACATAGCGGGCACTTCATCTTTAGAACACTTGAGGATCGACAGAGCAAAGCTAAGCTATGTTCCTGCTGACTTATGCATCACAACACCAAGTTTAAGGAGCTTGTATGTTTTGTTTACAGAAATTCGATATCCATTTTAAAATGGCTTTCACATTTATTTCATGTGTAATATGTTATTTGGCTAGTTATGTGTTATTTGACCTAATATCTAAAATATCCGAACATCATGTGTACCTGAATTCTCAGATTTAGAATTGAACAATAGTAAAAACCGTTTTAATATTAACGTCTCTAATCACTGGATTAGATCACACAATGATTTCCAGATTCTTTTCTTCGCGTTTCGTCCTATGGTAAGAAAAATCTTGCTGTTTCATCTTCTTTTATCTCTTATCTCCCTCATCAGTATTCCCAAATGACAAAACCTTTTCAATTTTATCCTCTTTTGAAAATTCACTGTTGAGATAGGAAATATTACGTGATGACTGCCCGTTGGTTTGCGACACTTAGTAGTCTGATTGTATAAAATATTTTTAGAGCGATGCGCAATTGTAAAATGGTATTTTGTTTTCAATCACAGTTTTTTAAAATTTTAAAGTTCTAGTTCTGATGTTGCTACTTGATATTTTCATACATGTCTGTTTAAAATGTGATCATTAGTTTATCAAAACCTGAATTTACTGAAACCAAATATGATAACAACCCAGAGCTAATATTGAAAAGTAGATCAAAAATACATTAAAAAGACATTTATTAAAATCTAATATGTTAAAAAGACATATATTAAAAATTAATATATTAAAAAGACATTTATGAAAAAATGCACTACAAAGGAATTTGTAAAATAAATTCTAAAAAAAAATGTTTAATAAGTATAAGAAATCGAAAGCTAAGCCAAGTGATAACAATAAGCCCCACCTTGCCTAAGCCATTTTAACTGATGAAAGCGTTGTTTCACAAAGCGACTTTTTGAAAAGGCGATAAATCAGGAAAGAAGAAATCGATGGGAAATGGCAACGAGCGAATCAGCATATTTTTGATCCGAGGATGAATTGAAACTAAACACTTCTACTCCCATCATTAACTACAAGTTCATGTTAATGTTTAACTAATAAGGTTTCAGGAGCTGGTAAAGCTGATTCAGATAATTTATCTTAATAAAAAAAGTAACAGGTAAAAACCTTTCGCTATTAAAATTTATGCCACTAACTCATATAGCTGCTGACGATATGTATCCATGTTTCGAGAGGAAAATACAAACACTTTAAAATAGTTAAACTATAGAACACACATTTACACTATCATAAGGAAAATAAAGGTACGGACATATTTATGGGCATATTAACATAAGCAAAATGCAAAAGCTGTGGCCAGAACATCCATGAAAATAATTTTTCATGGCGTATAGAACTTTTTAATAACGATAAGCAAGATTTTATAACAGTATAAACAGAGTTTTAACATCAGAAAAAAAAACATGTAGTTTTCCCAAAGCGATCTGCAAAATACTGTCAAAACTGCTGCTATTGCAAACGCTTATAATGCTCACAGTCACAGTTATTCTAATTTCGTGATAACTCTGTCTGCGTGATTGTAAAGGCGCTTTTACCAAAATAACAGGCAGCAAGCATTGTAACTAAGTAATGATAGTACGAGTTGTGAAAAGCGAAATACAGTAAATTTCGCTTATTGTGAAAGCTATCACACTTTCCCACAACAATCGCCACAAAACTTTTAAGGGGTGATCAAGCACGTGAACAAACATCAGATGCGAACTGTGGAATTTTGCAGTCGTCTATAGCTCTCAGAACAAAGTGTAAAAGAATGACATCCATTCAGAAACCTTCAAACTGGGAGCAGAAATATTTTACATCAAGGCCATATTTAGTAAAGACAAAGTTCTTATATCACATCTTATAAACCTAGGTCTTATGAAAGTTTTGTAAGGCACTGACATGTAAATTGTCTTTAATAACCTCAGTTTCCTCTCTTGTTTTAAATGAAACTGAAAGTATTATTAACGGACCAGATAATTAAAAAATAAATGTTCGATTAAAACATTTGTTCGGGAAAAGAATTTAATAGCACAAATATTTACGAACTTCACTAATAAATTTAATGGACTGTAGAAATTTTACTCTTACATCTGTTAACAGAATTTCACACACATATATGAGAACTTACGTATTCTACTCGGATGGACACTCTAGCCACTCACATCTTAATATACATTTCACAAGCCCGAATTTCCAGCTCAATCAATGGCGGCTAGCTTTTTGCCTTGTTCTTTTCTGCTCTTAGTTGCCAGATCCACACGTAGTCAATACTAAAAAAAATAGATCTTAGCTTCATTTCTTTTCTCTTCAGCGTTAAAAACATTGAACAAATAAAGTTGAAATGGTAGATTGTATTACCTTAAAGAATGGCATTATTAAACGCCATGGTTGAAATGAGAATCCCAATTTTAATGTCTTAATTAAGGTATTTTCTCCCTTATATCTGCATGCCTTCGTGATGTAACGTAGCACACTTGGCGCGTATGCGAAAGGTCCAGGTTCGAATCTTCAAATCTCAGAGGAAACGAAACTTCACTTTTTAAACTCACACCTAGAATTTTTTTCAAAACATCTTGCTGCAGTGATGGATCATCAAGGAGAACGATGCAGTGATATGTGGGAGTTAAAACTTGAAACTCAACGTTTATTTATATACCTCCAATAACTTAATTTAAGAACCTTACACAAACTTCGATAAACTGTGAAGTGAGGTAGTTAGTAAATAAATAGAAGAAACATCCTTAGCATCATGACTTGAAACATCAACAGAGAGAGAGACAGAGCTAGGATATGCCTGAAATGGAGCGAAATCAAGTAAATTTGTCCTAAGGAGGTGGTTTGCGTAGAGTTTCAATGAACAGTTCATCTCAGGCATATCGTATTTAAATTCTGTGAATAGTGAACCATGTTTTAAAAAATACCCTATTTGAAGACTTTAGAGTACAGCTGTTTTATATGCCCCCTACCTGTCAATTCCTGCAAATTCCGAGGTCAATACCACTTGCCAATACCGAGGCCGAACATTATTTCTGACGTATCAAAAAAATTTTTGTTATCTTCCTAAGAAATTTATTCCGCAAGATTTGCAGTACTATAGTCCTTCAGACACAGGTGAAGCAGACTAAACGCTCATCGTGAGATAAATTTGCCAATTCCTTAGCAATCCATCGGTGAGCCTCTTCGCAAGAACGAGATTTTCGTGACCATGCCTGGGACTTTAACAATATGTCTGAGAACACGCCAAGGCCGGTTAGGCTTGGAGTTGAATTTGATGCCTAAATATTCAGCGATTGAACTTAGAAACTGTCTCATAGAAAAGCGTAGATTCTTTTGTAATATTATTTTTTCTGTTTTGTTTTGATTATAAGAAACTTCGGTTCAATTTTAGTGATAAAAGTCCTGCATCTGGTGCACTAGATTTCACTCTCATATATTTTTGACTGCATCCCGACAGGAGTAAATTTGTTTAATTGTCTTGGTGATTAGTGCATCCTTGCAACGTACTAGCACTCAATTTAAGTCTTTTATTATAGTATTTCACATATATACCAGATAAACAACAGGAACACCCATAATAACTAACATAATTTAGTCCTGAATGTTGTAATATATGGGAAGGGATATTTTCTGCCCGTATACAGCATGCCTTTCCGCGGAGAAACGAAATCAGAAGAGTAGTAATATTTCTATCAATTTCCAGACGAATTAATTTGAAAATGAAATCTGAACGGCCTTTTCATGTTTGGGCACTGACTTGTTCATGAATTCTATAATAAGAACCATCTGCATATTTCTTGACAAATTCCTTTTGAATCCAAACTGTTCACCCGAGAACTGCCCTTTCCCATACTTGACCAAAACTGGAAAAGAGATTTATGGAATAGTAATTATGTTTCCAGCTGTGATTTTTTGTGGCTTGGAAATCAGAACAATTCTCGCGCTTTATGCAAAATGTTATAAATGTCAGTCAACTTTACAGTAGACTTTCTGAACAGGTTCATAATCCTTTTAATAGTCCTTTTCTCCGATCTAAAAGAATTATTATTTTTCATCGTCTGACGATATGACAAACTTTAGTCTGACTGTTTAGTGATAGAAAACGCATTTACGCCAGGTATTCACGTAATTGTGAATGCAAATAGTGAAGATATTATTGTCATCGGCATAGTTGGCCACAAATTGGTGTTGAAAGTTCTCAGCGAATAGTTGTGTTTTGCTCTCGTTGTTGGAAATACGAGTCGTCCTGCTTAGGCATACTGACATTTTTCTTATTTTTGACCTTGTAAGAAACTTGTAGATGATGTAAAATTTGTCATTCACGGGACGTTTTACAAGCCGAATGTTAAATTGACTACCCTGTATAATATAGGAGTAGGCTCAAAAATATGCTAGTATTATATGCCAGTATACATGCATGAAATTGTATACATGTATCTAGAAATATGCCAGTATATATAGAGAGAGAATTATGCCAGTATAATACGCCAGCATACATATATAAAAGATATCTATATTTAGAAATATGACAGTATATATACATATAGAAATATGCTAGTAAAATATGTACATACTTATGTTGAACATACTTCAAATGAAGCAGTGCGAAATCCCAAGGGCATGCCAAAATGAACTCTAACCTTCCGTCAACAATTATTATAAAGCAATGATCTTGGTTTGAATACTCTGCCGTTAATTTTTAATGATATTCATCATTTAAATATCTTATGATCGAAGATCGTTTCCCCATTTTGAAGCCTAAATTTTATCTCCAGAAGCGGTGTCATACCATATTTGCATACTTGGCTGACATAAACCGGATTTTAAAAGCTGTAACTATTAATATTTATAGTTTCTGTCTGAGCTATCCATTTCTGAAAAACGTCATTCGTAATTAATTTAGTACATTTTTTTCTGTATCGCTTTCTGGGTCATCATTTAGTTTCTGAAGTAATAGTGCTAAATTCAGAAATTTAAAACTAATAGCGCATGGGAAATTAAGCCTTACATTACTAATTCATCATTCCCACAATACCAGCTATCTTCACTC